CAAATATATAACGATATATATTCATCTATCTCCTAAGGATAGGATAGATTTAGATAGATAGAGGATTATCCTAACAAATAGGATAATCAAGAAATCAAATTCAAATTACATGGGTAATTTGAATGGGCCATGGGTCATGCCACATGGGTGCCCAAATTCGGGTCCAATACCCGGCCCAATTTCCAACACAAGTGATGTCATTTAAACCAAGGTGGTGGTGATAGTATAAAATTACTGAGCAAATCCAAGGAGATAATTGAATGTTCTTCTTCTCCATACTATTGGTTTGGAGGAATTGGAAAGTCTAGTCCTCTTTGATAAAGAAAATATATATATATATATAATACACACAGAGACAATGTACTTTGCAACTCTGTTTTTTCCACTTCAACAAGAAACTGAATGACAATCATTATTTAATCAAAGACCCAACCCACCTTGAGGCCTTTAAGCAAAAATGTCATCCTTCAAGTTGCAACACTAGTAGAGGCAAGAAAACACTTGATCTATAATAGCACTTGCACCACAGACATCCTCCAATTCATATAGGAAACCATTTTATTTGAAAGAGAAAGTTGGCAAGTGAAAAGCAGTTTCAGGAGAAGTTGTCAGGATGTGAATTTGTGGGAAGTTGATTTTAATGTTTCTAAGAGGAAAGGAGTTCGTGAGAATTTTGATTATTGCCCCATAACTTGATAAAGGGAAAATAATATTCAACTTCAGTACATGATCAACACCAAAATGAGCCCCTTTATATATTAATATTGATAATATATTCATATAAGATATATTGAGGGTTCATTATGTCCACTCAAACTTGGACCAAATTTGACATGCTTTATTCTCAATGTTTCCCAATTCTTCTTACCTGGAAACTACTCTTGTATTTATCCTAACAATTACTCTAATGCTATGCAAGAAATACTCAACTTTCAAAATAAGTTACATGATCTAGACGATGCGGAACGTGATATGTGGATTTTATTTATTTGTAATTTTTTTAATTTATGTTTATTTATTTTTTTTATTAATAATTTAATTAAAACCTTAGTATATTTAGTTACTTATTTTATTAGAGATTAGGCTTCCAAATAATATCATGATTTACTTCGTTATTTTTAATTAGGGTTTCCTACGTTGCCTATATATATGGCTCTATGTAATAGTTTTCAGTTAGCTTTGAGATAATAATATTGAGTAGTTAAAGGTTTTGACCGTTGTATCCTTCTTCTCTCTTCTAGTTCTTCTCAAAACTTTTTGAACTTCTCTTTTAGATCAATTCTCCACATATTCTGATTTTAGGACCAATTGAATAGCCAATTTAGTACTTGATTGAAATAAAATAAAATAAATTTCAAATTATAGATACGTTTAAGAAGTATCCAATAGGTTTATGCTAGTATCCAAAAAGTATTGATACTCGATACAAATACAACTCTCATCTAGAAGTATCTGTATTTCATAAGTTGCAATGAATGTCAAATCTGGAGGAGAGGGACTCCGAAATCCGAATCAAATTGGGTGGAAGAAGTTCAGGTGAATGCTGGAATCTTTCCCAAACCCTAGAATGTTTGGTTTTGAAGAACATATATATATATATATATATATGAACAAGTAGATACTAATATACTATCTAATCAAAGTTTGATTCTTTGATTTCGCTATTAATACCCACAAGCAACTTAACCCTTCAAGTACAATTTAAAGTCTTTCCCTTACATCACACAGCTAAATGACAAAACTCCAATACAGATTTTTTCAAAAAATAATAAAAATTAAATAATCCAATCGAGATCAAGAAAAGCAGTTCCTTTCATACAAGAACATGTCACAATTCACAAAATCAAGCTTCATCAAGATTTTCACAATTAACAAACATCAAAATAAATCCTCAAACCGTAAACTTCGTTTAGTTTCGGAATGAATTGGAAATTTGAAACTTGTATAACAATTGTATATAACCGAGATAAACAAACACAAACGTAGATATTGACGTAACTACATATAAGAAGGAAGATAAAGGAGAACCTAAAAGTCGAAAGTCTTGGAAGCTATCGCAAATAAGCAGCAATAAGAAAATAATTTTCTAAAGAAATATCGAAATATTTTAAAAACAAACCAAACAAAACCATAATATTTTCAAATATTTTTAGCATTTATTCTAAAAGCACATATTAACTAGACTCTTGTAATAAATAAATGATAAAGAGTGATGTTAGGGATCCCAAATAATCTACTAAATTTTATGCCAAATCTCTCACATGTGTGAGTTTGTGTGGGTTTGGTAGATTATTGGGGGTCGTAACATTTTCCAATAATAAATATAATTTTAAAATATACTACAAAACAAAAATGAGAATTTACCCTTAAATCCTATATGGGGGAGTGTTGATCCATTTAGTCCTAAGAGTTTTCTTATGGACTGATTGGTCCTAGTTTTTTTTTGAAAAGGTGTATCTCTTGACTAGAATACCCTTTTTAATGATACATTTTGGGAACAAATTGCTGGGTGTGTGAGATTTGGTGGGTAAGACGTGATTGATATTATTCTATGTGTGAGATTTGGTGGAGTGTATCACGGTGGATGTGGATTTTGGCATTTCGGGGAGTGAACAGGAGTCTTTTTACTAGTGTGTTTTTCTAGAGACGGTGGTGTTGCATTTGCTCGGGTCTAGAAGAATGACACAAGGTATGTACATTTTGGTCGATTGTTCTTTATGTGCAGGGGTGTGATGTGATTTTTTAGTTGGATAGGGGGGTGGGTATTGTTATTGGTTGGGGGGTCATTTTTCATGTTTTTCGTGTGTTGTGTTAATGGTGGGTGTTTATGTGTAATGTGGGTTTGTTTGGTGGTTGATCGATTGTGGTTTTCTACACGGGTTGGCAATTTTTTTCGCATTCGGTGGTCTCGATGTGTCTATGTTGGTTTACTGATGCACGTTAGCATGTTTGGTCATCACGGTGGTTTTGTTTCAATCTAGGTTTCATTTTTTTTTTTTTCAATCAAGAAGTTAACTGTAATGGTGTCTAATTCAAAAAAATTATACATTACCATAATGTGTAATGTATGGAATGTGTGATGGCCATGTGTTTGTTATGCGCAGGTATGGATGCTGGGATTTTGTTGTTGTGCACATATGACAAAACCAATGCTGCTATTCGGTTGCATGATGCATCGGCGTTCGAGAGAATCGTTGATGTTGTTTGTGGGAAGTTTGATGGGTTGGTGCCGGGTCTGGTATACATGTTGTTCGACGTACCTGGTTACAATAAGTTCAAGGTGGATCGACGTTTGAATTCATCATTTCCATATAACGACTGTATACTGATGTGTAATACACATATGTTTGTATCATGTTGACAACGAGTTGAATAACATATTCTTTGTCATGTGCATTGCAGTGTACTTAGGTTATGACTGTACAGGACTCGCTCACCAAACGTGAAAAACATTGTTCCATTCATGGACTCAATAATTGTTATCACTCTCCATAAACACACTTCCAATGTAAACGTGTATGCCTTAACGATTCCTTACATACGGAAACAATTAATACAACCTCACAAACTTATGGAAGACCCAATAATACATTTTCAAAGAAGCGTGACGGAACACATAATAACCAATATAACATTTCCCATCAAAGACCTACACAACTATCGCAAATTTACGAATCACATACAAACAACACCTACAACAACACATCAGCCACCCATTCCGACCCATACTGATTTAAAAATAAGAACACATTAAAACGATAAAAAACGCTAGAAAACCTCGACAGAACAATGTCCATACACATTGACAATATAACCACTACTCCTTATTTTCATATCGTTCAACGACACAGTTGAGTATGGTGTTAATGCCGCGTTATATAAGCAGATCCAACACATCTACAGTTCCACAACAAAGGACACTACACCTAGGTTGGCCAACATGTAATGCCAAACCACATAGACATTAAGATCACATAACCAGGATCACATTTTGGTTATATGGTTTAATGTGTATGTGGAATTCTCATATATCACCCATTAACATCACAATGCTATTGCAAAATGTGCCACCGGATAATACCCCAACCTAAAAGTGAAAGAGAAACACAGAATGGTTGATCCTACCAAAAAAAAAAAAACCACACACATCAACACAAGATTGAATAACAGACGACGTTGCCAAACAATCTAAACCCAACAAAATTAAAAAATCTAACAGTGGTGGACCAAATACCAAGCACATACCACAAAAAAGGCATACAACATCAGTATTAAACCCCAACATTACAACCCCTAACTCTACGCTAGCAAACCCTATCAATAGGCCTCCCATTCCTGAGTCCTTTTCAAATAAACATCACTAACTTGGTGGTGGCGTCGTCATCTCCGCAACACCCATTCAACAATACAAATTCAACGTCTGCTGGCTCTAACACCCAATCCCCCGTTCACACAATGTAGGGTTTCTGTATCATAATGTGCCTCAATCTCACGACTTCTGGAAGTTGCAACGAAGAACATTGGAACCCAATGTCATATTAACGACGCAACAATTCAACATTGGGAATACAGAATCTTTCCTACCCTAATAGTGTGAGATTCGATTGCAAAGGAGGAAAAACACAAAAAATCTATAGTGAGCTTGGTGTAAATGTGTAATTTCAGCCTATTGCAAAATCCCACATTCACCCTTTGTTTTCCACACACGCGTGTTCTGCCCCCATCCCTTAAAAGTAATTTCACTTATAATAGGACTTTTGGGTCCATAAGAAAAACCTAGGGACTAATCAGTTCACAAAATCTAAATTTAGCATTTATTGGTACTTCACCCAAACAAAAATGACGAAATAATATAATAAGGTGAGATGATATGATTGTAAATGATCCAAATTAAAAATAAATAAATAGGATGAATCATCTTATTTTGAGCTCACATCAAAATATTGGACAATTCAATTCTTTACAAAATAAATAATTAGAAACATAAAAATTGAATATAAAATTAAACAGAACCCTTTTACATGAGATGAATCTCACTTTTTATTAATCCTACATCAATTCAGCCATATATTTTTGTGCAGGTAGAATAATTATTGTTTACAAAGGTCAGTGACAATCTTAACTAATAAAAAAATATGTATAATTATTAGGGTTTAAATTAGTAAAATGGTAAATGATGGTTTTAGATTATACTAACCAGAAATACCGGCGGTGCCGTAAACAAGGACGAAGATCATGCCGCCGAAGGCCCATGCGATGCCGAGGATGCCGACACCGCCACACTGGTCAGGGTTCTTGATGGGGTCAATCTGGCTCTTGTAGCCGATGACGGTGAGGACGGTGATGTAGAGGAAGAGAAGTGTGGCTATGAACTCTGCAATGATAGCTCTGTAGAACGACCATTTTGTCAGCTCCACCACGTCCACTAGCGGAGCTGGAGGCGGGTCGTGGTAGTCCTTCGCTGAGATCTCCTGCTCTGTTACTACTGTTTTCTCAACTTCCTTTGCCATGCTAACAAAAGACCCTCCGTGTGTAGAGAGAGAGAGAGAGAGAGAGTGTGTTAATGTAGGATGTGGAAGGTGAGGAAGAGAGGGGTAGGTATTTATGGGGAGAGAGAGAGAGATTGCGGGGAGAGAGAATTTTGGACCCGGTTTGGAATGGTGTTCAATTCCACCGCTTTATTTGGGTCGGATGTTTGTTTATAGTTTCCAAAGTTAATTCACGCTCAGTTTTGAAAAGCTTTTTCAAAGGCGGGAAAATTTGGACTAATTGATCGTCCGGTTGATTAACTGGAATAATAAAAATATTTTTTTATTTTTCTATTTTTTTATTTTTATTTTTTTTGCAATTAACATATTTTAATTATTATATATTCAAAAAATATATTTTCTGAATTTTTAAACTTCTTTTATATATTTTAATAGAATTTTGAGTTGTATGTTTGGTTATGAGTTATAAGTTTTTGTATCAAATATCATATATCACATCAAATTTCCCTACTCAATCCAAAAACTCTAATTCCTACTCTCAAATCATAGCTAGAAAGCTCTACCAAACGCAACCTTGAATTTCAAGAGAGGATGAAGGTTGATTAATGAATTTAATTAAAGAATTAGTTATGAAAATTTTGGAAAGAAAAATAGATTGCAGAGAAGGAATTTTGAATTTCAAGAAAATGAAAGTTGATTAATGAATTTAATTAAGAAATGAGTTGTGAAAATCTCTAATTCCTACTCTCAAATCATAGCTAGAAAGCTCTATCAAACGCAACCTTGAATTTCAAGAGAGAATGAAGGTTGATTAATGAATTTAATTAAAGAATTAGTTATGAAAAATTTGGAAAGAAAAATAGATTCCAGAAAGAGAATTTTGAATTTCAAGAGAATGAAAGTTGATTAATGAATTTAATTAAGAAATGAGTTGTGAAAATTTTGGAAAGAAAAATAGATTGCAGAGAAGGAATTTTGAACTTTAAGAAAATGAAAGTTGATTAATGAATTTAATTAAGAAATGAGTTATGAAAATTTTGGAAACGGCTCATCTGACAAGAAAAATAGATACACCATCTCCAATCATTTATTAAATTTTTTATTTGATTTTAAATGAGTAAAAATTTGTTTTGATATGGGTTATTCCAATCTTTCATTAAATTTCATCAAAAAATTTTCAAAAATTACTTGTTCATCTTAAATTTTATTATTTTCTCTATCCCACTCAAAATATAAGTCTTTTCTTAAAAATTAAGAAGTAAAATAATATAAATTTCTTATTTTGTTCTCTTTTTTTTAATTTATTAACAATACAAAAAAGTATAATTATGATAATTGATATTTCCTAAAAAATGTACTGTGCTATCAAAGGATAATTTTGAAAATTAATTTTTTTAAATGTAATAATTGTATTACTAAAAACAATTAAATTCTCCAAAATAGACTATTATTTTAGGACGGAATCAAATTTAAAAGAAAAAAATTTATTGAAAATTTAATGAAAAATTTGATTCATCCTTAATTTGACAAAAAATTTGGCTGCGTTTGGAGAAACTCTCCAAACACATTTCCCTCCATTGATTTCAATGTAATATTTGTTTTAAGTTTTCAAATTATAACTCTGCACCCACTTTTAAAAACTTTTTTCTAGGCGAGAAAATTTGGCTAACCCGGACGTCCGACCGGTTGATCGAAACAGTGTTCAATTTTTATTTTTATTTTTGCACCTGTTATTTTTATATTTTAAATCAAAAATATTTTCAGAATTTTTAAATTTTTTTTTATAAGCCTTGAATAAGATTTTAGGTTATGTGTTTTTTAGTGATTTTTTTATTGTTTATTTTGTTTTATCTTTTATGACCTTTTTCAAATTTTTTCTAAAAAAAATTAAATATTTACATTCTATCTCCATCTCCAAAAATCTAGAAAATAATATTTTTATTATTATTATTGTATTGTTACTGGATTTTTCCCAATGTGTTTTTTTGTTCCATAGAAATTTTGGAGCCAAATTCTATTTATTTGGATGATGATTGCCAAACGTGTTGCCAAATTTGACAGAAGAAATGGCAATTGTCAAATTTAACAAGGATTATAGGAGTAAGATTTTTGGAGACTATTGCTAATTTTGGCAATGGCAACTCTAATAGTATTTTAACTATTAAAAAATTGACAGAAAAAATAGTATTTTAACTATTAAATTCCATGAAAAATATATTTTAAACATTTAATACAGATTTGGAGGTTATATGTGGGACTCGATGTCATTTTGGGATGGCTTTGGCAAAAGTTTTCCATTAGTTCAACAGACGGAGAGCGTAGATTGTGACATGGAATGGAATTGAAGATTTAAATTAATGAAATTAAAACTTTGGAGTTTAATTTGAAAAATATACAAAATCTTGAATTTTTTTTTATAATTTGTCCCAAATTTTTCTCTCTCTGCAAATTTAGGATCTAAACATAGTTTATGAAAGTGCTCCAATAAATAATTGAAAGCACAAAACACAAAAACAATGAGGCTAGAATGAACTCTCTGCAAAGTTTGAAGTTTGTTAGATATATGAATTCATAAATTAAGAAGTGACTGATAAACCAGTGAAAACTATAATTTAAAAAAATAAAATAAAAATCATGAATATAATTAGTTGTTTATTAAAAAAAAAATTTAAGAACCCCATCTTTCCACACAAGCAGTGAAAAAAAAAATTAAAAACATTCATAACATATGTTGTTTTTATTTGTTTTTAGGAAATACAAAAAAAAAAATTTAATTTATTATACTTGACATTATCCTTCTTTAATTATCTCTTAAACCTGAACGCCACATTATTTCTTTATTTTTGTATATATATTTTCTTAATAAGTAAAAAAAAGTCTCTTTATTTTTTGTTTTTTTTTTGGACATTTCTCAAAACAATACTTTATTATGACAGATTATCTAGAGCCCTAATAGGCCAACTGTGTGACAGTGGTACTAGTCTCCTTGGTTACGTTTTCATTATTTTGGGGGTTTTCATTAGTTATAGGTCATGTTGAAATTTTGGATCACCTAATTATATTTACATATGTTATGCACGAGCATTTTTAATTACAAATGTTATAATAATATTATCATTGTTAAATTATAACAATGGTGCTCCAATGATCACATGTCATTTTGACAAATCTTAACAAACTTTCCTTCTAATTTTGTATGTGTTATTTGGATATAGCTTTTTTAGTGATTTTTTTATTATTTATTTTTTTTTTATCTTTTATGACCTTTTTCAAATTTTTTCTAAAAAAAATTAAATATTTACATTCTATCTCCATCTCCAAAAATCTAGAAAATAGTATTTTTATTATTATTATTGTATTGCTGCGGGATTTTTCCCATTGTGTTTGTTTGTTCCATAGAAATTTTGAAGTCAAATTCTATTTATTTGGATGATGATTGCCGAACGTGTTGTCAAATTTCATAGAGGAAATGGCAATTGTCAAATTTAACAAGGGTTATAGCAGTCCACTGGAGTAAGATTTTTGGAGACTATTGCTAAATTTTGGCAATGGCAGCTCCAATAGCTTGCCATTAGAGATGCTCTAATGTGTAAAAAAAACAAAAAACAAAAAACAAATTTTTTTAATATCTGACAACGTTCTTCTCTATGATTAATTAAAACATTCACATCAGTTTCAACAAATTTCGAACCAAATTCTAATTTAAAAAAACTAATTTCTTATTTTAATTAATTACTTTTTTAAATGTATCATTCATTAGGCTCTCTATTCTAATTCTATTTTATCATTCATTCCCTCAATGAAAAATATTCAAAAAAGTCAAAATAGTGGAGCTAAAATTTATCCGGAAAAAAAAAAATGATAAACTATTCAATTGCCAATAAATAGTGGTGTCTCAACAAGTTGAGGTATTGTAGCAGTCATAAATAATAACTAATCATGTAATTTGTTCGTTGAGTCAGATGGAGCATTGATTCATGATTTGCTAACTATATTTAATTAAAAATTTTAAGTTATTGAGACTAGTGTGAATATTCTTACAAAATACAGTATTATGAGTTTCTATATGTTGGTGGTTGGCACTCATGATATTAATGGGCAATCCCCAACACTAGCTTTCTATGATAATTTTAAAAAGATGATTAAAAATTATTTTTTAACTTTTAATTCATTTTAGGTTATTTTATTTTTAATATTTTTTACACATTTTTTTATAAAAAAAAATCAAAAAGTTAACTTTTAACTATGAGTAATGCTAAAGATCTCAAAAATTATACCAAAGTTTCTACCAAATGTCTCACATGGGTGTGGGACCTACATTAATCCACACAATGTGGGTCCCATGTGGATCCCACACCGATATGAGACATTTGGTAGAACTTTTAGTAGAATTTTTGAAGTCTCTAGCATTTTTGTTTAACTATAGATTATTTTAAATATTGACTATTCTAATAGATTAAAATAGTTATGTTTTTAACTATGAGTAATGCTTAGGCTTGGTTTGGGAAGTAGGTTGGCTTTTTGGCTTTTTTGGCTATTTTAGCCTGGGCTAAAAAGCTTGGTTTGGGAAATAGGCTGGATGTGATGTTTTGTTTGTTATGGCTAAAATAGCCTATTTTATTTTTTGTGGCTAAAATAGCCAAAAAAGCCTGAAAACCATCTTGCCAAACAGAGGCTAAAGATCTCAAAAATTATACCAAAGTTTCTACCAAATGTCTCACATGGGTGTGAGACCTACATTAATCCACACAATGTGGGTCCCATGTGGATCCCACACCGATATGAGACATTTGGTAGAACTTTTAGTAGAATTTTTGAAGTCTCTAGCATTTTTGTTTAACTATAGATTATTTTAAATATTGACTATTCTAATAGATTAAAATAGTTATGTTTGAGAAGATTGTAATATTTTTTTATAGTTGAATAGGATGTTTGTGAAAGAAAAAATGAAATAATTATGAATTTGATGTGATATTTTGTCTTATTAATTATTTTAGCATAGTTTATCTTTTAACACTATTTTAGTTCAAAAAATCAAAATTCCTTTTCAAAAGTTATTTAGAATTATTAACTTATGGTTTGAATTTATTCTACGTATAATCTCATATTAAATGAATTCAATCTTAATCACAATCTTGTTATG